AAAAGTGGTACGGATAGCTAGCTATCACAAGCCGATATTGCCCGATAACATATTTTTATAGCTAGATAATCTCAAAGGCATTTTTTTGCTTGGGCATATAGACAAGGCTAAACTATGACAGAACTGCAATTCAATAAAGCATTCACGAGTGAAGTCGATTTTTACGAATTACTATTTATATAGCCCGCCTTAACAAGATTCTAGATGAACTATCAAAACTGAGCGACGCGATGAATATTTCAAACATTTTCAAAGTAGAGGTTTACGCATTCGAAACATGTCGGGTGCTTTGCTGTTTATTATTATTACTGTCGAAGAACAGGTAAAGTCACAGGAATAGCCACTTATTATTATTGTTCAATCCTTTCTTTTCTCTTTTTACTTCTTAGTCGATGTACGCGATGTTTTACTAATTTATATTTATGTATTCAATTCATATTTCTTTTTATGATAGTCATTGTAGTTTTGCTTTTTTATATCTATTTTGTAATAAAATCTGAACTACACAATGTTTATTTGTTGTTTTTTTCCTACTTCGATTCGAAGTAGAGATCCTCGAGCTTTGACTTCGTTTTAGATATTTTTATTTGTGCTTACTGAGTTATTTATTCACTCACAGTGTCTTCGATTATTATTCACTCACAGTGTCTTCGATTATTATTCACTCATAGTGTCTTCGATTATTATTCACTCACAGTGTCTTCGATTAGGGTAGCGATAGCGTAGCGCTTTTCTCACAATTCAGCAGTACCAGAAACAGAACGTACAGTGTGGCCTAACGCTCCATCTTGATTATGATTGACAATACATGCCCAGATTTGGATTAGCAATTGTGCCATGTTTTGTTGTGTTCTTTAAAGAACTTTTTCTATAAGAAAAGAAAAAAAACATATTTTGAACTATTCTACCATTTTCTTTTCTCCAGGACATTTAGTTTTGTTTTTCTTACATAACTCAATTAACTTTTTCCCTTTTACTGTTTTTTTGAAGTTGAACAATGGCATCGTTACCAACGAATTTAGATAATCAAAAAGCAAAATTAGCCGAATTATTTACTGACCCAGGAGCGGATCATGTCCCGGCAAAACTGTTTCACATATTTTTGGTTGAACCCGATGGGAATGACAAACAGAAACGTGAAGAAACTTACGATTTATTATTAGATTTGTTGGTTGAAAACGCTAAAATACAAGTTCCGTGGTCATTTTTTGAATAACTTTTGATAGGAGATAGATAGAGGCCTGTCGGTTCCACTGTTCGATAGCCGAGACCTGTACACATCTTTTCACAAGCAAAAAAGATTCAAAGATCGGATTTTTACTTTTTTTCTTTAGGGTTAATGCAGAAAATGTGAAATCCAGAAATATTAAACGAATAGCTGGTAAAAGGCAGCACAATCTCAAATCAAAAACAGCAAGGACGAATATGAACGATGAAAATTCAAATACCAGCTTCATCACACAAGTAAGATTTATCTTCACAAATATGTTTCACCATGCGCGAAGACATTAATATTGTGCTGTTATTTCAGACCCTTGGAAAACAAGAGGAAACTATTCTTCTCAATTGGATATCTTAAATGAATCATTTGATTAGATCCATCAGCAGATAACATTCTTAAAAGACTGTTTAAAAGTATTACAGTCAGTTTTATTTTCTTGAACAAATCCACCGTTGTTTTTGTGCTGAAATTAGCTCGTTTTTAGTTTTTTAACACAATTCCTTGTACAATATTTGTTTGTTTTTTGTACATTCTTAACGTTTTTATGAAATAAAGTGTTTCACGTAGCCAAAGACAAAAATAATTACTCTAGTTAAAACTTACCTAACTCATTTCCATCGCATACCAATTGCTTCAGACAAAAAATTCGTTCGTCAATGTGAGCATATTTACCAGTATGCTTCATCGATCCTCTTCCACACGATTAAAATCGATAAATGAAAAATTAACAGTTATACAGGTAGCATATCAATCTGATTGCTTTGCTTTTACAAAAGACTGCAGCAAGCTATTCAAGACTGCAGCAAGCTGATATTAAGGGCTTTCAGAATAGATCTTCAGAGTTGAATGACGCGATGAAAGGAGTAGTCCGCATAAGACTTGAAATCGGCCCACTAAATTAAAGTTATTTTACTGCCTCAAAGTATCCAGAATTCATCAAACTTATCTTATTCAGTGCTTTCGACTTTATAAAGTCGAAAGCACTGAATAAGATAAGTTTGATGAATTCTGGATAC